ACTAAGCAAAAAACACATGCATACCTATATACACTATTTACAATCAGGCGAGGGAATTCCGAGGAAGGCTTGTGTCTTCAACTATAGAGGGAAAAGCTGGACTTCACGAGAACCCTGCGCTACTCTCTCAACTGCATCACTGGTACTAAAGCCAGGGGAGATTGATCGAGAGCACACTTGTTTGTTAAATTTTTTTTTCAAGACCAGGTCAATAACGCTTAACTTTTTAAAATTTTTAATAAAATATGATAAACTTTTTATATAACTAAATATCAGTCAATTTTTTTTTACAATAAATACCACACCTCGTAGTAGCCGAACAGTTTCTAACTGTTAACTATTTTGTTTCTGGTACCAACCTAAGCCAAGTTACTTTCCCAGATTTTTTCATTCAATAAACCCTTGTAAGTTCGGAGCGACCTACTCAAATAGAAATAACGTTAATGACGAGGCCGCAATCAATGGTGTATGATTTAGGAGACCAGCCAAATTTTGTTACACTCTAAGCTTCTTACTCAAAATTTTAAGATGCGTTTTATAATCCAGTTTACATAATACAGTTTAACTTAATAATATTCTTACCTAACCTGGTGTAATTTACTTTTATATTTTATTGTTACGATGTGTTCACTAATTTGAAACTCTTAGCAGCTTAAATTATTTTATACAAAATCAGATGTACTAAGGTAAGAAGCAGAAAGAACACATGTAAAATTATAAAGTTGTATAAAAATGCAATCAAATAGTTAATTGAAATCATATTCACAAGGCTTTTATGAGGAATCTTCACCTATCAATTAGGTATGCATATAAAAAGAAAAAAAAAATCTCTTGGGGCCTTCTACAAGGCCGAAACTAGGGAGGGGCGTAGGGAGCATATGCACCGGGCGGCAAAGTTCGAACGGTATTGTATTTTATGTTATATGAAAAATATTTCTCTCTATTTTAATTTTTTCTTAGTTTATGAATTAGTTTATTTAAAGATATGTTGATTGGGATAAGGTTAGATGGGTTTATATTACTTAATATTTGAATTGTATTCAGGAGCGTGCCAATCGAAAATGGCGCCTAGAGGATGCCTCAAAGTTGCGCCCCTTCGTAAGTTCATAAACTAAATTATAAACTAAAAAAAAAAGGGGGTCCCTAGAGGACTGGTATGTTTGATTCGTCGAACAATGGAGTCCATCCAGTGCTTTGTGCGAGTGGTGGGCGGGTTATCGGATGCTTTCACCACCTGCAAAGGCTTAAGCCAGAGAGATGGGCTATGCTGCCTACTGTTTAATTTTGCCCTAGAAGGAGCCTTTTGGCAGTCAGAAATTCAGGTTGGTGGAACTATTTTCAATCGCATGGTGCAGCTCCTTGGATACGCTGATAATATCGACATCATAGGTAGGACTTATACGGCCATGAGCGAAGCTCTCTTAAGCCTTGAGACATCAGCTGCACGGTTAATCAGGACGGCAAGTTAATCAGTCCAAGACTAAATACATGAGCACTAATGCTTCAAGGAGAGTACCCGAACGCATCCAAGTTCAAAGATACACATTCGATACTGTGAACAAATTTATATACCTTGGATCTCTAGCTACAAGCGACAATGACTAGCAAATAATAATAAAATAAGTAGCATAATCAATAATCTTACCGTCATTATTAATAGGAATCCATTTCATTCGGATAGTAGTAGAAATTATCACTATCCATATTATGATGAATAAAAACCTGTAAATATAACAACCTATTCAGAATCTATAAATATTTTTAAAAATCATTCCGATAACATAAAAACTAATTACCAATATGTCTAAGTAATAGCAATGTAGTATAAATATTAATATGGAAGGAATATTTAGAAGTATTTTATACCATCAGTTCAATATTAAATGTACGATTGGTTAAAAATGGGTCAAATTCTATTTTTTTCCTTGATGTTTACAGATCTTTTAGGTGGTTTTATTCAGAGAATCCTATCTCTATCTGCTTAATAGTATTACTTATTGATACATTTCTACTATTTATTATTTTATTATTCATTAGATATGTACTCACATTGCGAAAATATCTCCAAGAGTAAAACCTGGCCTTCTTGATTGGCATTCAACTGTGACTGAAGCGTTGTTTACTGAAGCATAGGGTTCCAACAGTGTTTCTAATTGTTTGTTATTACACGTGTCTGGCAAGCATAATGTAAAAACTATTGGTACATTGTGTGGAACCCAAGAAAATATTGGTTTATTTGATATCTTAAGATCCACTAAACAATAAGAACTGCTGAAATTTTTCGGAGAAGTGGAAAAACATTGCTGATAACTTCCCAAACTTATTGTATTTCCTGATAGAAGACCAGTGTCGGGAACTCCTGAAGAGTCTAATACTGCAAGGAAATTCATTAGGATAGTCAAAATTATTATCTTCATAATCAACTTAATAAGATAATTACAGCTGAAAATGAAAATTTCCACTCACCCTTTTTGTTATGTGTAGAAGTTTAAAACTTATAACAACATTAATATAGAAAACATTAGAACCTTCTTCCTATCCACCAACTTTCGGGTTCACAGGTTTTCAATGCACAATGCCAAAGATGAATTTACTTATCCATTTTATTTACCAAGCTCATCTACTTTTAAGCTAGCAAGTTATGTTATTTGAGAATACATTTTTTAATGAGGCTGTTTCTCTTCTAAACAATTTAGAGTAATCACACGTAAAAAAATTTATTGGTTTATGCAACTCAAATATTACTAAGATATTTAAAAATGAACTTATGTTTTCCAAATTAATAAAATCATTTTCGATATTTACTGCCACTAAAACAGATTTTCCAGAATCCATACGCTCATCAGTGAGCTATTTATGGTTCGGCAAATATAAGAAGGGCTGCAATTCTTAAATGTTTTATAAGCCGAATTATCACACAAGCGGATCAATACATATTTCCTAAACCACCTTTCTTGAATTTGAAATATGTCCTCTTCGGTTCTAATGCAGTTGCTATACTATATACAGTTGTTACATCGACATAGTGTCTAATCAACCAAATTAAAAAAAATATATAAACAAATTAGATGATATAAAATATTACATAAATAGAAAAATCAAAATCAAGTAATCTTCCTCTAAGGAGAGGTTCATAGTACGAACTCAACCTTAAATCTACGAAAGGTAAACATCAACTAAGATGAATTATTTTATTAAAAGATTTAGAGACAGCCTTCAAACTTTTTTCTTCGAAATCGATGTTAAAATGTTTACAGAGTACACTTTTGAAACTAAGTTTTTATCCATTTTTATTTTTATCCGTAATATGAAGTGACTACCAAGATTTTTTTTTTCTGAAATTCAAAATTAACAGTTTACCATTAGAAAATTGGCAAAAGAAGCTATGAACAAAGATGTCTGTCGTTATAGAGTATTATATAATAATAAAAGGCTTAGCGAACCCGAAGGTTCGATGCCGACACCACCAATCGTTTATTACCCACCTCCCTCCATCGTTCGCCCTCCAAACCCAGTAACTTCAGTTCGATAATCTTAACGCAATCTTCCCGTCTTCGCTTCGGTCTATCCCTCGTTAACCATTGGGTACAGCAAATATTAATCTTTAAGGAATTCTTACGTTACTAACCACAACAATTTTACAAGCCCATTTGATTCGCCAGGATGTAATCGCTTCGATTATATTATCCAGATACAGCTCACTCAATTCGCCGTTGTGTAAGCATCTAAACTCTCCGGTTAACTCATCCTTCTTCGGTCCGAATATTCTACGCAATACATTATTTTCAAAAATCTTAAGATATTGCTCATCCCTTAATGTAAGCGGCCACGTTTCGCATCCATAAAGAACTATAGGTAAGATAATGGTTTTATAGATTCTAGTTTTTAAGTTCCTCAACAAGAGGCGCAAACTAAGTAGTTTTGTCGCAGAAAAATGACAAGCATTTTCCGCCTTCAGCCTAACCTTAATCTCCTCTTCAATTCCGTTGTTGCTAGTTATTGTAGACCCAAGATACCTAAACTTCTCTATGTGTTCAAACATATTACCTTCTATATTCATATCACGATATGGCCATAGAATATATGGCGATGTCGCCATTTTGCAGCTAATCATATATTTTGTCATATCCGTGTTTATTTTAAGCCCTAGTTCTTTACCGGCTTTCATTAACGTTGTCGTATTTAGTTTTATAGTTTTCGTGTCTTCGCTTAACAGGACCAGATCATAGCCAAGCAAGGGTGTTGGCTCACCCAGATCCAACCCTTTTTCGGTACGCATTACCTTCCTAATGGTAAGTTCTAATGCCAAATTGAATAGGACAGGCGAAAGGGAATCTCCTTGTTTTGGACCCGAAAGAACCTCTAATATTTCAGATAAATTATTAACGATTCTAACTGTATTGAGTGTTTCCTTCAACACATCCTGACTAGATTTATTATTTTTTTCGGAATTCCCTGCTTGATTATAATATTATACAGTTTCTAGAGGTAAATAGAATCGTAAGCCTTTTTGAAATCGACATAAAGCTGGTGAACAACACGGTTTTTCTTTTATTTTTTTTCCAATATTTGCATTAAAGGAAATATTTGATCATTGGTCGAACGGTTCTGTCTAAATCCGCATTGGTAGCCTCCGACAATTTCCTCTGCGTATTCCGTGATTCGACTGTTAAGATTAAAATGAATATTTCATAACACGCGAGGGGATGTTTTTTTTTTTTGTTTTTTTAGAGTATTAGAAATGGAATATTAGAAGAAAGAGTAACCAACAATGATTTGAAGACCGTATTTTTAGTTTCATCCGACCCTGTTCTAGCTTTTTCGACAAAACCTGTTGAAGGCCGTTAGGTTCATAAGTAAGTGTGTGTCACTGAAGTGTTCTATCCTTACACTTCGAACCAAAACTTATGTCGCGATATCCCGATTACGACTTTCTTTTCTCTTTAGGAACGTAAATAAACTCAACTTATTTGATATCAACTTAACTTCACTATTGTTTATCAAACATAAAATTTATAATAAGCAGAAACTTTACGTGATATGGCCCAGTGTTCGTGACTATTGACGGAGTCTTGATAATATCTCAAATCTCGGAGGCAGCTGTCGGTGGAATTATCTCTCATTAAATTACTGAATAATCCTTGTACGATGCTCTTATGTTGAATGGCATTAGCCTGTACAACGAAGGAATAAAAATCTTCGTTGTAATAAGCCTCGTACGAATTTGCATTTCCTTCAGCTAAATACGGTTTCCAAAATAGTAGTAATATAAGTACACCTTTCATTATCTGAAAAAAAAAGATAAGAAAATTCTTAAATTCATTTTAGAATATTAAAATGAAACGAGTAACCGTTGAAATAGCTGTCGAATATTGGGGGGGGGGAGGTACATAGCATATGACCAGGAGCTCTTTTCTTGTAAAATAAAAAAATGAAAATTTTGATTGGAAGGAATATTTGTGAATGATACGATTTTTATTATGATATTTCCCTATTATTTTACTCCAAATTAATCTCCCTGAAGGGGAGATGATTGTTCAAATTAATTTTGGTTTGGTAGTGTGTTAATTATTTTTGGTCGCATACAATTGTTTGCGGGGGGCCGGTCTCAGGTCCGTAGTTGCCTCTCTCCTGCGCTGCCGCTGTCTTTTGGGCTGTCGTTGTTGTCAACTCTCCGTGTTTAGCTGTGAGCTGTTCCTCGGCAAAGTTGGCAGAGCAAGTGAGGGGTTCAGGGTTTCCGTTGGCTGTTACTGAAGGAGTCGACTGGTCCTTGAGAGGGAGTAGGACAGGATGAGACCGGGGAGGCCCCCGTGCACTAGCCCATCCAGGATTTAATTTTTTTTTTGGGGGGGGGCTACAGCCCGAAATACATTTTTTTTTCATAAAAATAAAGATAATTACTTTGGAAAAAAATAAATAAACTAACTACCTGCATGAAATGGTGTTAAAGTGATTCCTAAAGATCTTTTAAATGTAATTAAATGAACAATAATATTTTAAGAGATAATTTTTTTATATATTTTTCCATAAAACATGGTTATATTTTACAATTTGGGGGGGCTTCAGCACCAAAGCCCCCCCCCCCCTTAGATCCGCGCTCGTGCCTCCGTGTTATATATTCAAAGTCATATGTTATTTAATACCAATATTAAATATAATAAAATTCATGGATGTAAATCCAATAGTATTCAGCTATAATACCACATGGGAAAAATAATTTTCTTTTTGGTTCTGCTTGTCAAATTCTTTATTGGAATAGCCTTGTCAAATTTCTAGTGGTATGCTATTTTCGGGAAATTTGAAGGCTTAGAGCTTAGAAAACACAGATAAAAAAATCTCTGTAGTGGGTATCTCTTTAATGAGTGGGTAACTATTTTAGAAAAAAAAAATGTACCCCACATTTTCAGTATTTCTATACATTTTTTAAATAAACAAGTCAAACTTCTTAGCCTTTTATGAGAAAAAAAAACAAGACGGGTCCGGTAGAAAACAAAGAACAATCAGTAAGGAAAATTAGAATTAACAATGACTTTTTTATTCACATCATAATTCATTCAATTATAAATTTAAATACAATTTCAATAAGATATAAAAAACTAAGTTTATATTAATGAATCATGGGAGATATTTTGAAAAAAGAAATTTCATAAACTTTAACGTAACAAATCCAAATAATTTTTTTAGACGAAAGGTTCAGGCATTAATTTTAAATCGTGGAAAAGATTAACAAGAATATATGATGAATAATGCTCATAAAAAGACAAAAACAGAAAAGGATAACAAGACAGAAATACCGACGTGTAAAGATTTGATAACAATAAAAAAGGTACTTGATTTATTTCATGGTACTTCAGCTTACAAAATATATAAGGTAACTTAAAATGTGACGTTTCTTAAGATATACTCGGAAAAAGAATATATATATATATATATGTGTGTGTATATAGTCCATGAATCTGGGAAATCTCGGTCAGAAAAAAAAATCCACATCAATGAGACAGTTTATATACAGCGCTGCGATATAGTTTTAATGAGCCTTGTTCTAGCGAAACAGAATTTCCACTCAGTAATTCTTTTCAAACATTTAATAAAATTTAAACCACATACTTACTGAATTACAAATGATTTTACAGCGATTAAAAATAAACAGCAACGTTTTATAAATGGATGAACAAAGCCAGTCGGACGATTACTAAAGTTAAAACACAATATATTTCCTTGTATTTTTGAGGCCACCGCCAAGGTCGTTCGTTTATCATCCTGCAATAAATTATCATCGCTCTAACTTTATCAGGAATAATGGTAATGGAAAAATATTTCAACATTTTATATTTGTAAGAATTGATGTATTATTGATATATATTGATTGCAAGAAGAGGCTACGATTTCGTAAATTTCAATGAAACCTTTATTGGTCATACTAGGTCGAAAAGGAGTAGTACTTGCCAATGCTCTATACAATTTTTTTCTATTTGTTCTACAGATATTTTAGGGTTATGATTAGTAAAAACCCGAAAAGCGTGTTGCAAAATGCGCAAAACCATGCAAAGAAATTCAAATTATATATATAACACCTTAAACATGCAAAAATTATCAATACATTTCATTTCTAATATTAATACATGGAAAATTTGTCTAGCCTTATTTGAATGAATGCCTTTGAATTAAATTTAGGTATAAAGTATAGTAATGTGAGATGAGAAAAAAAACCTAATTCTAATTCAACAATGAACTATGATTAGTGTTACCCAAAATCGGCCTTGGTCTTGCAGTTTGCAAGACCAAGACCACCTAACTGTTGCAAGACCGAGACGGTTAAAAAAAAAAGTTTTTTGAATAAAAATTTAGGCAAAATAGTTACTAATACTTGACAATTTTAGTTACTATATGTAAAGAATTATTATAACCAATATACTTTAGCATTTAACTCTTTTAATTTTTCATTCGGACTTAGGTTTCTCCTATCTAAAAAACTACAGCAATATCTCTATAGTAATAAGTTAATAGATAACAGCAAGAGTGTTACGAGACTCTTGTCCATGACAAAGACTGAATGCGCAAGACCAAGAAGAGTCTTAGTCTCGCATTTGGGTAACACTAAGTATGATTAACCTAAGCCTAGAAGAAAGTGAAACTTAACCAACACATCCAAAATTGTGTTCAACTCATTATGTACAAAAAGAGCAAAACATACAATATTTATTTGTTTTTTAATATTTGTAGTGTACACATATAGGCATGTAATATATACGATGTACATACATACATACTATGTATATGCCCGTTTATTTTATTTATTTAACTTTAATTTATTTTATTTTTTTTATTGTATATACTTCTTAATTATTATTTATTCATTATTTTTCTTCGGTTTATTTTATATATCTATGTATATGTGTGAATGTGGTCTTACTTTACTATAACTGTTGTCCAATAGACAGGATGTTACATTACTCAATAAAAAAATATTTCATATCGTGAATCCGATAGAAAATCAGTCGTAAATATGTTACATGCAAACGATTAGAATGTACAATCACATTAAAATCCTGTCTCTATTTATACATTTTTCTGGTGCTCAAAAAATTAATACATCCCACAATTTCTCCCCTCTCTCCTTTGTATTCTAACAGATTTGAGAGATTTCTTAAAGAATATTATTAACTATTATCAGCCTTAGTCTTAAGCCGTAAAACAACTATTTTTCGAGTTGAAACTGATTTTCATTTGCATTTTTTTCAGCGTTATATATTCCGAAAAGAAGAGAATATGCATCTACTATTCACTCAAAATGACTATGACAAGTGGCAAGATGAAACAAAAAAAAAAAAAAAAAAAAAAAAAAGGATTCGTCCCGATCGTTAAAAGGCACATTTTTTCAAAATCCATAACGGCTCATATTACCCAGCGATGGACAGTAGAATAGTTGAGATTTTGACCATTAAAAGTTGAAGTACAATTTTTGTCTAACAAATTAATGATTCTTAGAGCCAGATAGTTGCAGAATGCTGGACCGAGTAAAATATTTACGAAAATATCCAATCACCGAGAGAATAAAACAAAGGTTTAACCAATTAGAACCTAATTCAATTGGTAAAACACTTATTTAAAAAAAAGAGAATTATAATGTGAATTATTATTGTGACTAGTACTGGCGAATCCGGCGAGGGGGCGCGTCCCTCTCTCCTCTGGTTGGTGGTTCCAAGAAAATTCAGATATTGTATTCATTGACTTTACAATATCTCAATTTTGTATCCAACTATTCTATTTGAAATATCTTAATTTTACTATTTATTTTCATCTCTTATATAACTTCATATTAATTTTTTCTTTTTTACATTTTATTATAAGATTACCATTTTAATACTTATGTCACCTTTTTTGATTGTTTACTTCATTATTCCACACTTTGTAACGGTTATTATTATTTATCTCTTAGTTCTTACTATTTTCATTATTCTAAACACTTCATTTTACTTTAATTTTTTTACCTACATTATTTATGTTTCTCATACCTTGTTATCTGGTTCTTTTCTTAGCCCTGATGAAGGCCTGAACTTCAGGTCGAAACGTTGGAAAATATTATTATTTATTTTTGCATTCTTATTTCTGACTGATCACCCCAACCATCCTTCTCTTCATGATTAAATAGTATGCTGTGTATCTAGCAACCCAATATAATTGGGCAACACTCTTTTAAATGAAAATAAAGTGTTTCTCTATCTCTCTCTTCAATAACTATATTTACAGCTACATTACTTAATTTGACTTTTTTTTTTCTTCTCATAAATAGCCAATACAATTATGTGCAACATAAGAGAAATTTTGTTTGGATAATGATTTTGAAATCAAAGGTGTATGAGGATTAAAAACAACATTTTTTTCAGTTATATCAAAAATTATATTTATTTAAACAGCTGTATAATGTAAATATCTAAATATAGTTTTATCTGTATGTAAAATTTCCTTACTCTTAATACTTAACACTATCTATGGGAAACAAAAGATAAATATAAAACAAAGTTTACAAATCAAGTTAGAATTATGTTAAATATCCATAGGCAATGATAAAAAAAAGTCATTTTTTTACTTAAATTAGATTTAGAAAACTAATTCAAAGTTTTTAATGATTAATGTTCTGATCCAGTTATTTATCTAAGAATCAATTTTAACTCCTTTTCATTATATTTTAATAAAGATCCTATTGCTTTCTAAAAATGAAATGAATGTTAACTTATATATTTACTTAAGGGACATTATTATTATTAGTATTATTATGAGTTCAACAATTAATAATGACATTCATGAGAAAATGAACTCCTATGGGCCTAGCTCTTTCTTAAGTTTAGTTTCAAAAAATATATAATTCCCAAACCAAGGACCCTGATGAAGACTACTGTTTTAGTCATAGTTGATAGCAGGCCTACTTTGGCTCTGTTTCGGGCCCTCCGCTAGAGTCTGAAGTGGGGCAATACATACATACCACTCTACCATATATATATATATATATATATATATATATATATATATATATATATATATATATATATATATGGGGGTTGGGGTAGCCGTACGGGCTAAGGCGCTTGCTATAGGCAATTAAAGTTAAGCAACATCGAGCGTGGTTAGTACTTGGATGGGTGACTGGTCCACCAGGGAAAAAAACATGCTGCTCGAGTCTCTCCTCCCCCCCCCCCCGGTATGTGAGACTCATCAACCTACTGGAGGCAACTCACACCGACCGTGCGTAGGACTCATGACCCCATGTACTTAATCGGGAATCGGGATGTGGTCTACCAGGAGGTTAGTAGCCACCCTGAGGTTCAGTCCATGGACAGTTTTTTGGGGGAAAGAAATATAGGTCCTTGTGCCCCTACTGACTCCGAGCAGTCATAATCCATGGATCTAGAACAATTTGTCACTGTCCTTGAACCTGAGTGAGTCGGTGGGAAGGACACTGCCAGATTGGCCCCAAAGGGATCGGCTAAGGAGCTCTATGGGTGGCCTGCCGCTGCACCATGGTAACCATGGTTCCTAGCAACGTGAGGTTGGGTGACCCCCTTCAGGCTATCTGAGTTCCCACAAGCAACATACATCTGTCAGGAGACCACATCTCGCAGCCAAAGATCTTCATGGTTTGTAGTGCCAACAACCGAATATATATATATATAAATGCATAATAAATTTACCCAAATTTACAAAACAATTATTTTTGGGGCCAAACATACAATGGTACTAGGTAAATAAAAAACAATGATCTACAATGCCCTTAGAAGCGGCCCTTCCAATCATTCTACCATGATATAAAAGTACAAAACATTTATTTTTAGGATCATCCTATCTTATCAGTTAAATCATCTTTTTGTTTAGTCAAGCTTAAGAATCTTACAAATGTCTGTTTCATCAATATTGATCAAGCCAAGATCAATGGTGATTTAATGGTTAAACAGATGTAGGATTTATGATTTACAAAATATACAAAGATTCTATTTTTTTTTCTTATTTGGATTTTCGAATTAGACATGTATAAAAACTTATGAGATTTATTCCACTTCAAGGAACTTTTAGCCAAGTATAGTTCCATAAAACATTTTTATCACATGTTAGAAGGCAAACCTTGATTGAACATGATCCACTGACCACAAAACCTTCACATATGCCTTTTACCAACGTTCCACTAAAAGAATTTACCAATTTCTCTTATTTCCAGCCTCGACAAAGTAGTGGCAGATATATTGTGTAGAGTGGACCTTAAGTCGCACAGTCTGTGCTCATGCAGAGCTAACCCACGCACAACAGGGTGATGAGCAGCTATCACACTTAATGAATAGCAAAAAATCATCACATTTCACTAAAGTGAATTCAATTCTTCACTCATTATTTAATGCAATCCCTGTAAAATGTTGACAAATCCTATGTTCTGTGACAATTTTAAAGTAGGATTTGTGAACATATAAACAATTTTTCACATCCTGGTTGATCAACATAGATCAAAATGAACATATTACTAAAGTAGTACATGTAACACTTATCTTTTGAGAAATAAAATAAATATTTTAAATTTTTGTTTTTAACATTTAACATAATTAGAAAAAAAAAAAGTTTTGATAAAGTCAAATAATATATTAAATTAAAGCCCTTAACATTCTAAAAAGAATGATGCTATTTGAGCTTTCTAGGGTAATAGTTTTGGAGATATAAGCTTTTGAATGTTTTAAAATGTCAAAGAAAGTTAATTTTCATTGATATTTTTTAAAGTTATAATTAAAAACTTTTGCATTTTTTTCATTCTCATAATAATAATAAATATTAATAAAACACCATTGATTTCCAAGATTTCAAGTTGTACACCATCGGTTAATTTAATATGGAATGGTCCTATTACATAATGCCATTTCTGTTAACAGTCGTTTTATAAGCCTTTTACATGACAGATAAACTATATATTTAATGGAAAACAAGATACATCATTGTAGAACTGATTAATTAAAAATTTACAAAACAAATTAAAATAATACTATCGAAAATAATATAAATGATGCAACCTCTTAAAATTAACATAAAAATACAAAGGCATATAAAATATTCATTTATAAATTTTGTATACTAGAATAATTTAAAACCTATCAACTATTTTTCTAAATCCAACATCAAAGAAATATTTTAAATGACCAGATTTAATCATTGTCTACTAGAAAAAAAAAATACAAGCAGTAAAGCATTTCATTATTAGTTTATTTGAAATTTAATGTTATAGGCATGTCTTTTGCTAAATTTTATGTTAACACTAGCATTCTTGTCCTGTTACAAATGAGGTTATTATGAAACTATGTAGTTATTTTTGGCACTTCATTTTAATTTTTATTTATTTACTTTGTCTAATATAGGAAGATGTATCGTGCTATTTGGCACAAACAAACATTTTTATTTTAATCATGATGTTTACTTTATTTTTATCACCTCTTATTTCTGATGCAAAAATAATGCACCATGTTTCTTATGTAAAAAGAAACCTAGAAAGAAAAAGAAAAAAATTAGTATGATGATATTAATTAAAAACAACAGTGTATGAAATCTAAAGATGATTAAACACATTTATAATTACTTCTACTAAAGGGAAAAAAATGAAAAGCATAAATAAGCTCAACTGTTAAACAATTTTAAATAACATACCTGCTATTTCATTTTTTATGTCATGTTCAACTACATGCTAAGTGCATGATCAATTATGTTTGACGTATTTTTCAGCAATTAACAGTATGGTAATATCAACAATATTTATAACTAATATCAATGAAGACAGGCAGGCTACATAAAATGTTTAATTTTAGACAAACAGTTTATATTAGATAAATTAAATAAAAGTCATACTGACGTTTCATACTTAAAAGTCTGGAAATAATTTGCAATGTGACTCTAGAAGTTGTTCAATGCTCACTAGAATAATATCTGGTTTACTTTTATTGATTTTTAAATTAATGAAGCATCAAAGTCCAAAACATTGAAAAATGAATTGTTTATAAGATTGGTAAATAGTGAATATTGAAAACCAAATAACAAAAACTACATTAAACTAAGATATTTAAATGTAGAAATATTATTATTCTATAATAACAAATACATGGTGATGTCAATGAAATATTACACTGCAGGGATCACAAGAAATTAAACAAATGGATCACAGGAGTGACCAATTTTCCAGATTATATAATTATATAATGTATATAATTATTTTTTTTTTTTTTTTGGGTGGCGCTATAGACCATGAATATCTTTGGCCACGAAATGTGGTCTCCTTACAGATGCATGTTGCATGCGGGAGCACAGATAGCCTGGAAGGGGTCACCCAACCTCACGTTGCTGTGAAAAAAGGCTCCATGGTGTAGTGACAGGCTATCCATAGCTCCACAGACGATCTCTTTGGGGCCAATCTGGCAGTATCCTTCTCACCGACTCACTCGGGTTCAAGAACAGTGACAAATCAGTCTAGATCCATGGATTATGGTTGCTCAGAGTCAGCAGGCATATGAGGACCTATATTTCTTTCCCCGAAACAGACCATCCATGGACTGAACCTCAGGAGGGCTACTAACAACCACATCCTGATTCCTGATTAAAGTACATGGGGTAAGGTCATCATTCCTACATCCAGTCAGTGTGAGTTGCCTCCAGTAGTCTGACAGGCCTCAAATACTCCAGGGGGGTAGAGACTCGGGCAGCATGGATTCCCTGGTGGACGACACCCATCAAAGTGTACTAACCAAGCTTGACGTTGCTTAACTTTGATTACCTATTGCAAGCGTCTTAGCCTTTACGGCTACCCTGGCCCCTTTATTTATATATATATATATATATATATATATATATATATATATATATATATATATATATATATATATATATATATATATATATATAAGCTTTTGGGCTCAAGTCCCTCTCCAATTAAATCTTGGTTCTGCTACTGATTTGAAATAAAGCAAAGTATATTACAAGTAAAAATTTAAATTTTATTCAGTAAAACCTTTTTTTTATATGATCACAAAAACAAATATAAATGCACTACCGCATCATCATGACTAATAGACAAATTTTAGGAGTAACTTAATAATCTTGGACTTTTTTCACTAGTTAAAAATATCTATTCAAAGCATCAATGTATTGTTTCAAAATCTCATATCCAATTTTTAAATTTTTTATGGTCAGAATATTGCTATGAACATGAAATTTGCAGCTTAATAATTCATTATACTATGATGAACAGAATGCATCAAAACAGAAGCGATTAAGGAATGTTGAATCCAGTTTGTTTGACTTTCAGCTATGAATTAATTCTTAAGGCTTACTGGATAATACCACAGGCAGTGAACCTTCTTATCATTATAGGCTGCATAAAGGCTAGACAGTGATAATGGAGGTTGAATTAATTTTTTATGTTTTACTGTTGTTATTTTTTTATAAGTAAATACACTAACAAACACACTGATATACATATTTTCAACTTAATTCTATTTATTTTCAAATTTTCATAACTTAAATAATTCTAGCACTAGATTAATGAAGAACATGCAAAAAGTAATGGAAGGTGAAGGTTTCCCACCTGTGGTTTATACCTTAAACTTAACAGTAAGTGAATAGAATTTGAAACACATAGCATACATTTCACCTTGATGTTACAGTCGAGGATCAATCAACTCATAAGGTTGAAAACCAAGTTCCAAGCAGTCGGAAAAAAGAAGTGGATCTGCCAGCATCGGGTCAACACACTCCATTATGTCTTCTTCTTCAATTATAAGTGGAGCTAAAAACAAAATTCAAACAATGGCAGCTAAATTTGAATATTTACACGGGCTAAAAGTTAGAAAGATTGATCCACTTCCAATGTTAAGCTTGACACAAGACATGTATTATACTTTTGAACAGATGCTTTCTTTCCCCATGGAATAATCATGGAACGCAAATAATATCTTAGATGTGGATGGTCCTTCTGAAAGGACACTGCGATCTTTCCCCATGGACAGGTGCATAAAGCACACTTGTAGTTTGGAAAGGATGCTCTGTGTTCTCTATCCCTTTCTATTCCTGAGGCTTGTGCATGACAGAGATTGACTTTTTCATCTTCTACTAGCGAAACTTGCCTTCAGTATCGTTTTAGCTTTAAAGGGGGTATGTTTTGTTTTCAAATCGGCCATCTAGAAGTTGTTTTGTGAAAGGTTAAAAAAAAAACTATCAATATAAAACTTTATAAAGAAATGTGCACCTGTATGCATAGTATTTTCATAAAATTAAACCCACACCAAAAGTTATATTGATAGTTGATATTGTTTTTTAAAGGACTATCTATCTATAAGTGTGACGCTACAACCCTGAAAGGCTCTTGGGATCCTCAATAAGCCTCCACCATTCGGCTCTGTTCTATGCTGCCACTTTCCAGTTGATGATCCCTAGGAGGTTTCTTGTGTCCACTACCCCTCTGTCAGACCACCTTAACCTTGGTCTTCCGGCTCTTTGGGGCCTATGAAGAAACTGTTTGGATACCATCCTCGAGATTTCTTCTTCACTCATCCTAGGTACGTTACCACTCCATTCTCCTTGTAGATTTGGTACAGTTATAAGTTTTTCCTAATTCTCAATCCCTCGGAAACTCTCAATGGAGCAATAATATGCCGCAATATTTTTCATTCAAAACTTATTAGGTCTCTTTCGTCACTTTTGGAAATGGTCCATGTCTGTGAAGCATAGTTGAAAACTGGTCGGATTAAGGTTTATAAAGAATAAGCTTTGCACTGCTCAAGAGCCTGTTTTAAAAGGTCTTCAGTAATCCAAAGTATCACCAATTCATAGTGAACAATCTTTTCTTTATTTCCGTTGACATATCATTTAAAGCTGTCACATTTAGAATCCAAGGTAAGTGAACTCCGTAACCCTTTAAAAAGTGTAAGAGCCAATAACCAACATTGGATCTTCACCACCCCCTGTATAAAAATACTTAGTTTTGGCTTTATTAACAACAAGGCCAATGATTGAAGCTGCCCTCTTAAGGTTGAGGAATGTTTCTTTGAGCTCTAGCAGAGACCTTGGAACTGTATCTAGGTTATCAGAGTAACCAATCATGATTCCTCAAGTCTGGATTCTGGAGTCTTTGTCATATCTTTGTTGCGAACCTTTGGCAGAAGTGAAATGAATGAGCAATCAGATTGTATTTGCACTTGAAACCTCATCTCCCTCATTTTCAGCTTCACAAGGTGAATCAACTTATTTTTGACATTCATCTCTGGCAATGCCTCATACAGCATTACTCTCAAAGTTACATTCTTTGTCATTCCAACACCTACAATACCAGCAAAGAGCAATAACTCCAGAGTTCCTGAACCGATAACTGCAAAAATGGCACATCCGTTTCATGCAGATGTTACAGAGAAAGGAAAATCAGAAAGTGAAACTAACACTATTCCTGAACCAGTAATGACCGACTTCCAGCCTCTATGCAGATCACAGAGACGTCATCATTCTCTTGCTTATATTTCAGATTTTGTTCTTATTTAAGTTGCGGAGAGTTGTTGTGTCTATCAACTTATCTTGATAGGATAACAATATCATCCATGATTATTATTAACAAATAATCTATCTTTTATTATGTTTAATATTTTCAAGATTCATAATGCTTTTATTGGTTGATGTATGAAACTATATTAAATATAAATATATATGAAAAGAAGAATTGCATATTCACATTATAATTTGTATATTTACAGATATAAAATAACATTATTTAACATAACAGGCTACTGTAGCAGTAGCCATCCTGTATGGGGGAGCAGGCCACGAGGCTCAAACGGGGCAGCCCCTGATTTAGGGGCAGAGTTTGGGCTGATAATCTCCTCCTCTTAAAACTTGTTGTTGTTGTACCAATAGGAATCTTGCAAAAAGGAAAGCTGGACTGATTATTCAGAAATAGCTCAGTGCCCACCTAATGGAACTTACAATAAGATAATGAAATATTTTATCCCTATTATTTCAGACATTTTAAGACTGGGTACTCTTCATCAGCTTCTGTCACAAATGTACTGTTTGATAATGTTGACATGATTGTTGAAATAGCTGCAATCCAAGAAATAAGATGGACGGGTCAAGAAGCCTTCACCAAAAAAAGTCATACCATCTTCTCTGTGAAGACAAGAAACATACATTTGGGATTGGTTTCATTCTGAGCAAGAAGAAGAGATATAAGTTCAGGCCCGTTTCCCTATGCCTGTGCTAACTATGCATTAAGAGGATGTTTTTCAACTTTTCTCTCATAAACTGTTAAGCTCCAATAGAAGTTGCATCAGACAAGAATAAGGATACATTTTATGATTTTTGGTGATATATTAGCTGAAAAGGCAAACTTTTTCTTTAATAATTTTTTTAATAAGGATGATAAAGCAGATTTTAATATCAGTAAAGGTTGGCTTGATGATTTAAAAAGCAGGTATGAGTTATGTTTTTTATATTAATTTTTATTTTACTGGAAAATTTCTTTACTCCCAAATTTTATTTGTTACTATAGATTTGTCATAGAAATGCCATAAACACATTTAATACTTGCTTGGAGTGGGTGAATGGATGTAACACCGACTACCAAAGCCGGGTATTTCTTAAAAAATTCTGAAATCAGGCGTTTTCTTTAGCAACAAAATCATACTCAATATACATTATATGATCATTCTGTTAATATATTTAACTGATTTAAATATTTTCGTTACCGTGTATAATTTTTCCATCATTTTAAATTTAACGGTCCTATCCTTTACACAGTTTATACAGTTGACATCCCAACCCAATCCAACACTGTCATCACCACCTATGCCGATGACACGTATATCCTATCAGTTAATAACGATCCATCTATTGCATCCCAAACTCTTCAATCACACATCACAAGCCTTGAAAAATGGTGTCAAAACTGGAGGATTAAAATAAATTCCAATAAATCCCATCAAATTACCTTCACTCTTCGTCGTAAATCTATGACTTCCGGTCTTACAGTATTCTTCAACAATAGCCCTCTTATCCTTGTCGAACAAATCCAATATTTAGGACTCCACCTTGACAAATGACTCACTTAGAACCCCCATATCAGACTGAAACGACTAGATACCGTCCGACGTTTTCGACTACTGCAGCACTTACTAGACAAACGCTCAAACTTTCAATCAATTATAAACGACTCATATATATGACAATAATAAGACCTATTTGGACTTACGGAATTGAGCTTTGGGGCTCCACTAAACCATCGAATTCCTCTTGTATCCAATCCTTACAATCCAAAATCCTTCATGAAATCTTCAACGCTCCTTACTTTGTCACAAATAAAATCATCCATAAAGACCTTAATGTTCCATATGTTTCTGATTTGGCCCAATCCAGATACCTGTCCTTCCATAAAAAACTGCAGAACCATCCGAATCCTCTGGTTTCAAACCTTGCTTCCTCCTCGATCCCTGATAACCCTCCGAGGCGTCTGAAAAGAAGATGGCCTCGGGATCTTCTAATATAGAACTTTAATTTGAGTTCTACCAATGGGTAGTTTCTCTTCATGTTGTTCATGTCATGTTACCAATTTCACATTTACTTATTGTATTTTCTATGTAATACAGTTGTAAATTCCATTAAAATAATAAAAAAAAATAAATTTAACTTTTGATAATCCGAACATTTTGAAAATGTGAACAGGGCACACAATATGAATCTCCGTGTTTGGATTATCAACACCATCCTGTACTTTAAAATAAATTATTGCCAAAAATTTTTTAAAGAAACAGAAGGCAAAATTTCAATTCTTTTAGAAAAATTGTGTTTCATCAGTGATAGCTGCATAAACATAAGGAATACACTAGAATCACAAAACTAGTGATATTACTTCTTATAATAAATATTTATTTGCAATATGCCTTAATTTTTTCTTTTTATGCAATCTGAAAAATTTGTTTTAAAGTCCTATTTAGTCCATAGTTGAGTCTAATCACAATTACTATCAAGAAATTACAATAAATACCAACAGCTTATACAAGGAAACTTGTATGTTTAATGATTAATCCGATAAGAGAGGTTATGGATGTGGGATCATCAATTTCAATAAAACTTTGTTCATAATAGACCATAAAAATATTAAACCTGTGGCCAATGGTTCTTGTTAATATATTCTGAGAACTGAAAAAAAATTATATAATTAATTTTTTTTTTTTATGATATTGTTTTCTCTTTGCTCTACATGGATTTCTATGTTATAATATACCAATGGAATGCCATTTTTTAATGTAAAATAATCATCATCATCATATGTGGCACGACATCCCGTTACCGAGACTAGGCCTCCTCCAAGAGGCTCCGCCAGTTGGCTCTGTCTTCTGCTGCAGCTCTTCAGTTCCGTACACCAAGCAGGGCTCTCGCATCATAGGCCACGTTGTCCAACCATCTCGTCCTCGGCCTTCCTACCCGTCTTACGAGGTGCAGCTCCTCCATCATTATTTTCTTTGGTATTTCAACGGTGCTCATTCTGGCCACATGCCCTGCCCACCTTAGTCTGGCCAGTTTAATATACGTGACTACGTCGATGTCTGTATAGAGAGAACTGAGCTCCCTATTTTTTCTTTTCCTCCAGACATCACCCTCCTTTACTGGACCATAAATCCTTCTGAGGACTCCTCGCTCAAACACACTCAGCTTCATCTCATCGTTTTTAGTCATCGTCCAAGCCTCTGAGCCATATGTCAAAACAGGCCGAACAAGGGTCTTGTATATGATCAGCTTGGTCTTCTTTGAGAGGTACCTACTTCTTAAGTGTCGGCCAAGTCCAAAGACACATCTATTGGCAGCCGTGATCCTTCTTTGTATTTCTTGAGCCATGTCATTTTTGCTATTAATTTCAGACCCAAGGTATATAAAACTTTTCACTCTCTCAAACTTAAAAGAACCTACCTCAAATGGAGAGTTCAGATCCACCTCACCACCAACTCTCATATACTTAGTTTTCCTCTCGTTGACTTCTAGACCAAGTGGTCTTGCAGCTGCTTCAAGGCCTATAAACGCTTCTCTGAGAGCCCGTTCAGACCTACCTATTATGTCAATATCATCAGCAAAACCAAGAAGCTGTGTCAGGCGATTGAAGATTATATCGTTGGTCTGAATACCGGAGTCTCTTACAGCTTTCTCCTCTGCCAAGTTGAACAATAGACAGGCGAGGGCATCCCCTTGCCTAACCCCACTGCTCACTTTAAACTCTTCGGAGTCGTCAGAACCGACGCGTATTCTACATCTCGAGCTGTCCATGGTCATCTTGATTAGGCGTACGAGCTTCTGAGGGATGCTTAGCTCCTCCAAGGCACAGTATAGTTGCGTTCTATCAACGCTGTCGTATGCTGCTTTAAAGTCTAGGAATAAATGGTGGGTGACTACCTTACGCTCCATAGTCTTTTCTAGGATCATCCTCAGAGAGAACAGTTGATCAGTGGTTGAGCGTCCTCTTCGAAATCCAGCCTGATATTTCCCCAGTTCCTTTTCAGAATACGGGAGGATCCTCTCAAAAAGAATGTTAGAGAGCAGCTTATAAGCACACGAAAGGAGTGAGATTCCTCGATAGTTAGCGCATTCTGTTTGATCTCCTTTCTTATGTATTGGGCAGATAATGGCTGTTGCCCATTCCGTAGGCATAGCTTCCCTCTCCCAGATGGTCAGCATTAAATCATGCAGAGCTTTCTTGAGTTCTTCACCTCCACATTTCAACAGCTCTGACTGGATTCCGTCCGGGCCTGGCGCCTTTCCATTTTTCAATTTCCTCAGGGCGTTTTCCATTTCCTCCTCATCCGGGGGTTCAATAGAATTCAGGGAGTCTTCCTTCATTACTCCTACTTCTCCAGGCACCGTTCCTCTGTTTAATGCGTCTTTGAAATGTTGTACCCATCTCCTTAGTACGTCATCTTTGTGGCTTAAAAGAGTTCCATTCGTGTCTTTGCATGCCGTCACTCTGGGCCTGAAAGCTGCCCTACCCTCGTTTATTCTCTGAAAGAACAGCCGACTTTCATTTTGGCCGCGCAATGCCTCTGTGTCCTCCATGTTCTTATTTTCCCAAGCTCTTCTCTTTCCGCGGAATAATCTCTTCTCTTCACGTCTTTTTCTTCGATATGTTTCTTGGGAGAGCCTTGTGGGACGCTGAACCTTCTTTCTGTAGGCTTCATTTTTCACTTTTACTGCTTGAAGGCACTCAGCATCAAACCATGGGGGCCTTCTAGATTTAGTCTCGTAGCCAAGAGATTCTTCTGCTGCCTGTTTCATTGCGTAGCTGCATCTCTTCCACTGTTCATCGACCATAGAGCTGTCATTAATTACTTCTTCATTAAGTTTCGTCTCCACAGCTTGTTGATACGAATATTGGTGGTCTGAGTCCTTAAGTTTAGCTACATCAATCTTCTTCTTTGGTCGTTGGTGGTGGTTTTTAATCAGCGAAATTCGTGATCTGACCTCGGCAATGCTCAAATATTGATCCGTGTCCATATTTGCACCTCTATAAGATCTTGCATTCATCATGTTGGACTTGTGACGGGCGCTAATGAGTACATGGTCTATCTGTGATGTTGTTTGCCCATTTGGAGAGATCCATGTTGCTTTGTGGATATTCTTTCGAGGAAAAAGAGTTGTTCCAACAACCAGTCCATGCAATGTAGCAAAGTTCACCATCCGTAGCCCATTATCATTACTGGTCTCATGCAAGCTGTGGGTTCCTATGGTCGGCATGAGTGCCACCTCCTTACCAACTTGGGCGTTAAAGTCACCAAGAATGATTTTAACATCATTTTTGGGGCAGCTTTCTGTCACGCGTCCAAGTTCTTCATAAAATGTTTCCTTATCCTCCTCAGGTGACACCTCTGTTGGGGCATGGCAGTTGATTAGAGAGAAATTAAAAAATTTTCCTCTAAGCCGAATGTAGCATAACCTTTGGTTAATGGGAGTAAATCGCATCACTAGCTGTCGAGCTCTGCCTCTCACAACAAATCCGGTACCGAAGATGTGATGCTTTTCATGGCAGCTATAGTAGAGTGTATGGTACTTCTTCTCCGTAATTCCCTGTCCTATCCATCGGACCTCTTGGATAGCTGCTATGTCGATTCTGTATGTGTCCACTTCTGCAAGGAGCGCACGAAGTGCTCCTAGTCTATGTAATGATAAAATGTTCCAAAATCCAATTCTTAGGTCATTTAGGCGTTTCCTGGGTCTGTTACCGTAATTCAGTCCGGCTTCTTCTCTTTGAGGTTTCGTAATAAGGTACTTTAGGGGGGTGGGTTATCAGCCCACTGCCCCCGAGTCAGGTAGAGGGGCTGCCTCCTCCGAGCATCCTGACTAGCTCCCCCATCCGGGGTGGCTACCTAGGGAAGGTGACCCTAGGGTGTGTACTGTAGGTGACCTTTGTCTGTAGTGTTTAGGTGATGTAGTGTGCTGTATAAAGTGTACTTGGTGTGTGAGTGTTCGTGTAAGTGTTCCCCCAACCTGGAGGGCCAGTGGCTGGTTGCGGTACAATGACTGGACGATGGGACCGCCACCTCCCTACGCCTATAATGTAAAATAATAAATTACAAAAAACCAGAAGTCGTTTTCCATAAAGTAATTCAAGTAAATTTGTTTCCTTAATCATCATCATCTGATGGCACTATGATCCTTGTAGAAACTTGGCCTCCTCTACTATCTTCCTCCAAATCGACCTGTCTTTGGTTGTCTTTCTCCATCTGCCTTCACCTAGGCTCCTTAGATCATTTTGAACGTCTTCCAGCCAACGAAGTCTAGGCCTGCCTTTTTTCCTTCTTCCACCCGGATGTCCCTCCATTATCATTTTAGGGAGCCTACCATGCTCCATTCTTTGCACATAACCCAACCATCTTATCCTTCCCCTCTTTGTGGTGGATATAATGTATGGGGCATTATATAGCTTCTTCAACTTGTCATTTGTTTTCATAGGCCAAATATTTATAATTATAGGCTCCTCTTCGTTGAGTGTGTGTATCCAGCACTTGCTTCCATATATAAGAACTGGTTACAGGACCGTCTTATATACTCTTATTTTCAAGAGCTCTTGGTATATCATAATTTCGAAAGATTTTTCTTACCACTAACACTTATTAGCAACTGTCCTTCTTTGCATTTATTTCTTCTCTTATGTAGTTATTCTCAGTGATAACAGTGCCTAGACACCTAAATTGTGGTACTCTTTCGAAATGGTGTTCAGCTCCCTCGACATATCTAGTGCCTTTCATCTCCCTTGTTGTTGACACATATTTAGTTTTGTAAATTTGTTTTACTGAAAACAATTCAGATTAATTTATGGCATCCTTTAAAACTCTTAATTAAACATTTTTATTGACATAAAAATATATAAATTTTTGGACTTGATTTTGAGGTAGGATTTTGTTTCCTGATATTCACTTAAGCTTTCATAACTTCTTAGATTTTTTCCAAATTCAACGTTGTAAAATGCATATTTTCATTCTAAATCCATTGATATGAATAACTCAATTTAAACAAAAAAAATACAACTGCTGGTTTTAAAAAATTGTTTGCCTTACTTGTGTTTTTAGATATTATTGTGTTGATAACATTAAATTAGTTTATATTTGACTAATCCATGTATATTTCTAAATGTTTACCTGTAAATATTTGCAAAAAATTTCCTTTCACCTATAATTGATTCTAATTGATATTACACAACATTACATCAAATGCTCATATTATATCTATATATTTATTACATCAAACATTGCAGAGATCTATTTTTTTAGAAACTAATAGTAAATATTTTACTGAATAATTAAACCCAACATACCAGAAAGTGAATCGACACGACTCATATATTCCACTTCCACATGTTTGTCTACTCCACTGAGGATGTCAGTAGCTACCCTCACTAAGGAGGGATCAGTGTCTGGACGTAAACGACTCGAATCATTGGAGTTATCCTCCTCAAGCATTATACTTTTTGTAGCTATTTCTATTTCTTCTTCTTCTGTGATAATCACTGGTTTCTTTCGCTTTTCTCCTCTAATTGACTTTTTATTCTCTTGCTAAAATCAATTTTTTTTTTTTACAGTTAACTTATTGAATTAAGGGAATAAGATAAACATTCCACTGTATTTATTTGTCATAGATATAATATATCTGAATTTTATATAATTAAGTTTGATAGGAGTATTAATGAGTTAAAAAGAAGAATAGATTCTTAAATATAAAAATTCATACTGTTCAATAGAAATTTTGTAATAGCATGTATTCTATTTGATATTCTTAGAACAATTTCATTTATTTGCCACAGAAATAACATATCTTAATTTTATATAATAAAGTTTGATAGGAGGATTAATGAGTTAACAAGATGAATAGTTTCTTAAATATAAAAATTCATACTGTTTAATAGAAATTTTGTAGTAGCATGTATTTATAGTCTGTTCATCTAAATTGTATACATCAACAATAAATGTTTTGATTTTGATTATTTATTAATAAAACACATGTTAGGTTGATAAAGTGGATACATGAGGTTTTCACTTGGTTGTCTATTTAAGCTCGCGTATATGGACGTTAAGACGACCATTATTACACTGGTGACAGGTACAAGGGGTATTAGAACCGTAAAACATTAAATAAATAAGAAAGTTAGGTTTATATCAGGTTACCGGTGAAATTAAATTTAGGGACTACCATGGAGGGGGAATTGATGCAGTTAAAAGCTGAATTAAATGAAGTAAAAATAGAGATGGAAGCTCTAAAACAAGCTTCAATTAGTTTTCAAAGTCCATCGACTAAGGAAAACATTAAAAAAGGAGTTAGACTTGCAAAACTTGATACAACCTTGGGGTGGGTCAAGTGATGATGATCATGTAAATACATTTTTAAGACATGTTGATCTGGTAGCTTCTACAGGGGGTTGGACCGAACAGGAGAAGGTGCTAATTTGTCGATCAAAATTAACCGGACCCGCGAAGGGGTGTGTTGCATCTTATCCAGCCTATTTATGACCGCAACCCCGGACCATCTCCTTCCTTTAAAAAACTATTTTATTTCAAGGCAACATTTCGACCCAACTTTCCAAGTCTTCTTCAGGGGCTGTATGCAGCATAGAGTTTCGGTTGAAACTCCATGGTTGAAAGCTTCAACCAAAACTCCATGGTTGAAAGTTTCAACCAAAACTCCATTCTGCATACATGGCCCTGAAGAAGACCTGAGAAGTCGGGTCAAAACGTTTGCTAGAAATAAAATGTTTTTTTCACTATTTTACTCTTTTTATGACCGTCACCCCAGACAATCTCCTTCCTCAAAAATATGTATATATTATTTGTTTGTCACTGATTCTTGTTGCATCCATACATTGGCACTGATAGAACAGATTAATAAAAAACAAATATATAATGCAGATGTTCTGAATTTAAGTGAGTTTAAAAAGAAAGTCACTGACACAAGACAATTGGCAGGTGGATGCATTGATACATTCTGGTGTTGGAAAAATTCAATATTGGGAAGTTATATATCCCTGAATAGTCATTGCTAATATAACTCTCATTATTGAGCATGTGAACATAATTCAAATATGTGATTTTATGGAAGGTAGTTTAGGAAAGGACAAGGAATAATTTTGTGAGGATTTCTAGAAAGTTGTTAACAGAGCTAGCAGTTGAAATGAAAGTCATTTGTAGTGATATGAATGAAAGAACTGGGATGGAACATAATTTAGCCTATGGAATAATGGGGGAGGAGAAGTGGTTATGAATGATAATGAACAAAGATTAACTGAAATCTGTTTTACAAATGATCTATTGATTGGGAATTATTTGTTTAACTATAAAAATATGCATAAGGTATCCTTCGAGCCACATAGGAAAAAAGGAAACAGCATTATTGAATATTATCTCTGTAGCAAAGAAATCAGACAGTTCTCCACAGATATGAAGATAATTACAGGAGAAGAACTAAATACAGATCACCAGTTGTTAGTGGTTGAAACCCAAAACTAATTAACATATTTCTATAGAGGTTTCTTTCTAGAAACCTAAAGCAAATGACATCAAATCTGCGAGCAGTAGTCCAACAGGAAGACAAGAAACAAAAATCTGTTTCACGCATCACAAGACTTTCACTTACCACCCTCTTCTTAGCTTTAATTTTCATAGCGTGTATTTTTCTTTGTTTAATTATCCCTATATATACAAATTTTATTTTATTTTTATATTGTTGTAATCTATACAATTAAATATTAAATAATACCAACAATAGCATTTATGAAAACCACCAGCATTCATGTATATGTACATAATATTGTCGGAGTGCGTATGATATAAAGCTTATGTTACGTATGGAAGCCATTTCGGTTTTAGCCAGTGATAGGGACACATCAGTGACGTCACTCTTAATTGATTTTTTTTCATCCAATCAAGCTAAAAATTTGCATGTGGATGAAGCCGTATGCTGGAGGCTGGATTCTGAAATTTGGTAAAAATCAAGTGAGGATCTTCACCAGGACCAGAAGGCAAAGAAGCCGGTAAGCTTGAGGAACCAAGCTTCTTATCTCATTGCAGCATACTACTTGCAGGTCCCCACCACGATTGCCCCACCTCCTCCAGAAAGGTCAGTGTCATCCTAATCAGCTATTATTAAAGGAGCCCAACGTAACTTATTATTAATTGTTTAATTTTCTTGATTCCTTCTTCTTTTATTTTCCAAGAATGCATATCCGTCTGTAGTTATAAATTTTTTTAACTAGTATATTGATGCACACATATATTAATTGTCTAATTAAGTATTCTATATCTATTTATATATTTTGGTATTTTTAATCTATTTGTATAATTAAATATTTTTAATCTATTTAAATAAGTTTAACTTATTCACATTAATTAATCTATGTATATATTTTTAAATCTATTTATTTAATTGTAACCTACTGACATACTTTTGAATTAAAAAGGATTGGCAGACAGGATCTGCGTCACAGGGTGAAAGTGATATGTTTACATTTTGATTCATTGATTTTGATGTGCCAGTTATTTTACCACTGCTCAATCAAGGAGAGGTGAGATTGTAGGTTTAGAGATGCTATTTGAGGATCTGAGTGGGAGGATAGAATGGCAGTATCATCAGCAAATGTAGCTAGGAATATATCAGGATTTGAAGAGATATCGGCAGTGATGAGGATGTAGAGAACTGGGCCCAAGACACTGCCTTGTGGAACACCAGCCTCAACTGGATAGTAAGTGGAGAATTCGTTGCCACAACGGACTTGAAAGGAAGAGGTAGGATTTGAGGACTAGGTATAAGGATTGAGGTAAATGGGTTTTGAACTTGAAAAGCAAACCATCGTGCCACACCTGGTCGAAAGCTTGCGCTACGAGGTCGAAGGTTGAAACGGCAGTGGCCCAGAGATCTCTTGTAAATATGCTTCTGGAGTCCTGGCAATGACCAGCTTCTCCACTCAAGTCCTGAGCATCTGTGGCTCTAATGTCCTCCTTCAATCTCCACTGGCCTACCAGTGATGCGGCTGGAAGAGAGACACTGGGATCTCCTGGAGTCCTGCTTTGCCTTTCACTTTTTGGAGAAAGCTTGGCTTGGAGTTCCCTGGGCGAATGTAAATATTGTGCATAGGAATGGATGTGTTAAGATGATTTATTTTATTTTTACTTATTGATTTATTTTTTATTTCATTTATGTATGTTACTCTACTCTATTTTTATATTTACTTTTCTTAGTTTACTCATTTATTATTATTTTTTATTTCTATATTATATGAACACATTTAGCCCTGTTTCTTATTGCCCTTCAATGTGGCAGATTGTACTTTTAAAATAAAATATAAAAAGAAAAAAGCCCTGAAGAAGATCTGAAAAGTTGGGTCGAAACCTTGGCTTTTAATAAAATAGTTTTGCCACTATTTATGAGCCCCACCCTGTATCATATCCTTCCTTAATAAAGAATTAATGTTTTTAACATTAACAATTATTTGGTGAAGTCCACTTACCCATTTTTTGAACTGCTCGTCGTATTCTTTATTCAGAGTCCAAAAATGTCCCCCTGTGTTACATTTCTCCCCTTTCCTAAATTGTGGATTGATACTCAAATTGTGCCTGATGGAATTTTTCCACCTTCCATCGTTTTTATTGTAATAAGGGTAGTGGCTGCTGTATTACAGAAAAAAAATAATGTTTATAAAAAGTGCATTATTAATATTTTAATAAATATATGATTTAAACATTTGAGCAGATAGGATTTTAATTATATTGTAGAATGAATTATTTTATGAAATGAAATGAAAAATGATTTTATTCTGGGACTGAAGTCCCCTTAGAATAATAGTAGAGTTTAAAAAATATGTACATTAGTCTGGCATAGAAGTATCATATAAATATATACAAAAAATACCAAGGAAATTGTAAACACACACACACACACACACACACATATATATATACACACACAAAGTTACTAAGGAAAATGCAAATATATAGAAAAAGAATACAAAGGGAAATATAAATATCTACAAAACATGCTAACGATAAACATAGATACAATAAATACTGAGATATAAAAAAATTAATAAATAAAAACAAAATAACTTCTTTTAATTAACTGCTGGTGACCAACATAATCATGTAACCCAGAAATTTTTACAAGCTTGCAGAAGTTTGAATTTGTAGGAGGTGGTGAATAGGAGTTTATGGACATGGTTTGACATATGGAGGTGGGTAAGGAGTTTCATAAGGAGGTAGCACGAATGACGAAGGATTTACTGAAGGAAGTGGTTTTATGGGAGGGAATATATAAATCTATAGGTTGAGATCTGGTATTGAAAGAGTGGATAGAGGAGCGTAAAGTAAGGAGTTCTAAGAAGTAGATAGGCTTTTTTCTTCTAAAAACTTGAAAAAGAAAAACGCCAAGAAGGGATTGCCATCGGGAAGTAGGATATAACCACTTCAACTTGGTTTACCAACAAAAAATATGGGAACGCTTGGGAATCCCAAAGATGAATCTTATGAAGCAATTCATAACTTTCTTCAGTCTCGCCTCTAGTTCTGTGGACAGCCTTCCGTACACCAGGCAACCGTAGTCGAAGTGGAGAAAGACAAGGGATATTACAAGGAGCTATCTAGTTTTTTTGGAATGGAATCACGGAATCGAAGGAATTGTTTTAGGATAATTATGAATTTACCAGCAAATCTGGGAAATGTGGTTGTTCCAAGAGATGTTCTGATCAAAGATCACTTCGAGGTTTTTGACTGTCAGAAAGAAATGGATGGGATGGTTATTGAGGTAAAGTAAAGGAAAGAAAGAAAGGGAACTAATAAGGTGCTTGGAGCCGATTAGGATTGCCTTGGTTTTGTCTGCGTTCAGCTTTAGTTTATTTTTTTCCGCCCACCTATGGATACAGTTAATATCCTCTTGTAGTTTTCGGATAGCCTCAGGCATCTCAGATGGTTGGAATGATTTGTAGATTGTCTGCATATAAGTGATAGTGGGAATGACTAATGGAGTCAGGAAGGTCGCTAATATAATTGGAGAACAGAGTTGGAGAGAGTGAGGAGCTCTGAGGAACACCTTGTGTTAATTGAAGAGACAAGGATGGAGATTTGTTAGGAATAACAACTGTCTGGGAGCGATGGGATAAAAAAGAGAGGAGCCATTTCAGAACGCTATTCAATATGGGTAGGCTTTGGAGTTTGGAAATGAGGATATTGTGATTGATGGAGTCGAAGGCTTTTGAAAAGTCGAAAAGGACTAGGATGGAGATTTTATCAACCAATTTTTATTGTGAATTTTTATTAAAATATGTTTTTATCAATTTTACAAAGTTAAGTAAATATCCATGAATCAAAACAAAGTAACTGATGTAAAAATTTAATTATTGGCCTTGACAGTCAAAATAAAAGTGAAAAATCTTCAACTATATCAATACAGGAACATTTAATTTTAAGAATAACTGCTTTTGGGAATTAACATATAAAATAATGAATAAAATACTATATTGATTACTATTTTTAAGTACTAATTAGTTTGTGTGGTGTTAGAGGTTGACAATACTATTTTAATTCCTACAACCCATGAAAATTTCTTTTTCAAAAGAGAATTAGATTTATAATGTAATCTATTCAGCCATCTGCTAATATGTAAGAATTCAATTAAATAAAAAAGTAACAATCAGGATTTGATAACATTAGGGTTATAAAGAACTGTTTATGAAGATCCACAATAAGCTTTGACTCAGCGGAGGCCTTACAACATAATGGCAATTATGCCATAAGAGCCACAACCTACTCTCAATACAAATGAAAATATAATTTAGGAAACAAAGAGAAATATGTGAAGAACTTTGTATATTATTTTGTATGTTTGAATTGTATTTCATTTAATATGGCTCTGATTCATTTGCCTTATCAATAGGTATTCTAATTCTTGACAATCTTGAACATGAGTTGGGAGCTCCACAAGATTGCCCTGCTCTAAGGAGAGCACTACTTTGATACACTTTTAGAGGTTGAAACACTTTTTGTTTTAACTTTTATCAATATTACAATTTAAATAAATTATGTTAATGAAGATAAAGAAAAGTATAACAAATATTTTATATATAGGCAAGTAAAAGTAACAATTAAGCAATTTTTTGTTCTGTAAAGTTATTGATGACATTAATGAAAAATAGCTTAAAAATTTAACTTACTATATCCATTTGTAAATTTCAGATACTGTCAATTCCCCATGCTCACTTAAAGCTTTTTCAATAAGCTCAGTATAAGTGAGTCCTGGTTTCATTGTAGTTTGGAAGCTAGATGTTTCACCTGTAAAAGATAAATCTGTAAGGCAAGGCTGCATCCAACTCAAACAGACAAGAGGGCTGACAATTTTCTAAATATTATTTCTTTCGTAAAGAGGGAATGGGTTTTCCCTGGTGCGATGGAATGATTCGCAGTAACATTCAAAAGACTAAAAAATATAAATCCTTAGATTACCCCATGTTGGAAGGAGGGGCTGCTCCCCACCTTCTCTCATCCATACCCTTGGTGTTGGACATTTTTAATACAGTCATTACCATTTTAGTTGGTTGAATAAATGGTATCTTTTAACTACCTTTTTTTAAAAATTATTTATTCGGAATTCATTACAATCTCTCACAATTAAGGAGATTTATAATAGTGTTCAGAGAGCACATTGACACTCTAATCTACCTTTTTAAATATAATTTTAAAACTTAATTTAAAAGTTATAATTATGCAATAATTAATATCATAGAAAGCAATATCGTGAAATTCCAATTAACATCTTTTCTGTTTAAAAGCCAAATCGCCAATTCAGTAGTGAGCAATACTTACAATGCTGGAGTAGTGGCTGATGAGCTTGGGTGCCTGTAAACAGGGAGGCTGCACTCAGGTTGACCAGCCAGGATAAGTTGCTGGGCTCTTCATCGTTCTGGAGCGCATCGTCTTGACTATTTTCTGTAGTGCTTTTTTTGCAATCTAGCTTTGGCTTTACCAGTCTCAAACTATTCCCTGAATAAGGTGATTGATTAATTCCGATTTTTTCGTCGTTAATTTCGAATTTTCCAGTTTCGATCATGTCACTTATTACGTTCTTACCTCTTTTGACTATTGCTTCTTGGTTTTTAGGCACCTTCCTTTTAGCCATGCGTTTGGAGTTTTAGACGAATTTATTAATCTGCAAAACACATACGTTTATGTACAATAAAGTATGGATTACAATATGAGGGCATAGTAAAATTTATGTTTCTTAATAATTATTAATACTATAGATTCCACAGTTACACTTAATCATACTAGTAGTATACTATCTATAAATATTTTTCTTAGATACTATTGATTACATTAATCTATTTTGATTAATTATTGGATTGGCTGAATTCTGGAAAGGTACAATCTATAAATGAATTATGGATGAATGAATAATGATGAATGAATTAGTAACTGAAATTTTGCATTTAACTCTTGAGGCTTTATCACTTTGCTGGTCACTTGTAAATTGGTAGAAACAAGGTTAAAAAAAAAAAAAAAAGAATTGTTAGATATGTAATATTTATCATATGTATCATAGAGCTACCTGCATGGAGCTAATTGCAAAACGTTAATCCAAGATAAATTCGGTAAAATAATTTGTCAGCTGGAGGAAAAAAAAGCAATATAAGTAAAAGCCAATTAATATAGTTTATTTAATTAGGTAATTTTGATGTTGCTATTGTACGTATTGGAACATTTAAAACCCAACATTCCCTAAGCTAAAAATATTTTTAGTGGTAATTGCCCTTTGGTTACAGTCAGAGGTTGAAATGAAAAATTAAATTAAATTTTTAAGTAGTTCCAATACGAATGGAATACTTATTTTTGATTGTTCAGGTATAAAAATATCATTAATCAATTCATATCACGTCCTTCAACATCTATGTTTCTTCAAATGAGCTATTAATTTTGAACGGTTTGCATCGTGCTTTATCCATCAACCAGTGCCGATTTTAAGGGCGGGAAAACCGGGCACAAGCTTCAGGGCCGCCTAGAACTAGTTGACTATTATAAAAATTACAAAACTTATAAGATAAATTAATTTTAGCATATTAGCAAAGCACATGAATAGAGATATAAAGATTGAATGTAATAAAATTCAAATATAAAATAATAAGGTACATCGTAATAAATTGATTTTATTTTGGGAAGACTTATTGGGGGAACTCATGGCCTAATTGCCCGGCGGCTCAAATTTCAAATGTAAGCACAACCATTAACCATGAATGAACCCAAAAAGAATTGCATAGCGAATAATAAATGGGTTCAAACAGCCCAGATTTGTTTACAAATTATTTTTTTGGCGTATTTTGTTTTCCAAAAGATCACAGGTGGATCAACGGAGGGATTTCGGGCTAAAGCCCCCCCCCCCCCCCCCACCCTCCCAAAATGGTAAAATATCACCATGTTTTATAGAAAAAAAATATTAAAAGCTATCTCTTAAAGTATTATTGTTCGTGTAATCACATTAAATAGGACTTCAAGAATCACTTAAACACCACGTCATATAAGTAGTTAGATTGTTTTTTTTTTCCAGATTAATTATAGTTATATATATGAAAAAAAAAGCTTTCGGGTTGAAGCCCAACCCTACCCAAAATTAAATTCCTGGACCCGCTAGTGCAAAAGATGTATCTTTACGAAACAAGCCGTTCTAAATCTTTTGGAAAATTTTCATTTTGCATATTTGGCTAAAAAAATGATTATTCTGTATATTAAGGCCTAAAAGCAATTATTATTAAAAGCAAGTTATTTATTATGCATATTTCTAATAATTGAGTTTCCTTTTAAATTAAATTAGATACTAATTTTTATGTCAAGTAATATTTTACATGATGTTAATCTTATTTCTAACTCGTACCAATTATGCTTCTAATGTTACAATAATGTTTAATTTCAAATTTATTAAAAGTAGTTGTAAATTTCCCGATAACGGATGTAGGCTTCGAAGTACTTTAAACCTTTTTATTTTAAATGGGAACTGTTCATAAGCGCAGACTTTCCATTCTGGTGGGGGGAGGGGGGAGCGATGCTACTCGTATTTTCTTGATTGATTTTAGTTTTTCATATTTCATTGTTATTGATTTTGACTTAATTTTTTTCTTCAAAATATTTGGGGGAGGGGAAGTGATATTCTCGCAACTTTTCTATTTTTATTGCCCCCTCGCTCAGGCTCCCCACTCCCAAACGGAACTTTCTACGGAAGTACATCAAGAAAAATGCCTAATAGTGAGAAACACAGCTAGAATAATTTCTAAAATTTCATTCGTCTACAAATACGATTAGAATCATGTCAAAAGCTAAGTATCCTTTTTCTTTAAAACTAAATTATTGGATCTAATGTTGCCCAAACGCTAGACCAAGACCAGTCTTGATAGTCTCGCAACAGTCCTGTAGTTGCCTATTGGCTTATTACCATAAAGACATTACTGTAGTTTTTTAGATAGAAGAAACCTAACTAAACCCGAATGAAAAATTATAAGAGTTAAATGCTAAAGTATATTGGTTATACCAATTTTTTACATATAGTAACTAAAATTGTCAAGTATTAGTAACTATTTTGCCTTAATTTTTATTTTAAAAAATCGATTTTTTTTTACCAGTCTTAGTATTGGTCTTGCAACAGTTGGAGGGGATTGGTATTGCATTTTACAAGACCAAGACCGATTTTGGGCAGCACTAATTGGACCGCGTTCTATTTCTATTTTATACATGAATGATAAAAAGATATTTCCTAAGGAGAAGAAAGTTTCGTAGTGTTTTATTTGTCAAAATAGGTAAATTTCCAAGATTCATTAGGAAACAATTAAATAATTTCTAGTAATTCTGAACACCATGCTGTTTTAAACAATTATGTCTCTTTAATATCTGTCGATGTAGAAAGATTTTTAAATAAATTATGTATTATACTATATAATATATACAAATAATTATTAACTTACAAACGATTCTGTTTTATGGTTACATTTTTAAAAGCATACATATGTTTTATAAATAAATAAATTTTATATGTCAATTATAAATAAATCCTTGTTGAAAATATTTAATGTAGTGTTGCCATTAAATATTACTCATAAAAATCGTAAATATGAAAAATTAAAATAATTAAAACTTTCGACTGTCAAATAAATTATCTTTTATGTACTGTTGCCATATTTTATCATTATTACTTTTTTTTTGCTATTTTTTAGCACTGTATACTCAATATTATACTACTTTTTAAGGCATCTTATAAGTAGCTTTGTTTAATAGCTGATTTTATTAATATGAGAGAATTAATTAAATTATGCGTTATTACTTATGCTTGTAATAAATAACTTGTAACCAACAATATAACAGTCTTTTCTGAGCACCCCTGGACTGTTATATTGTTGGTTACAAGTTGTTTGTTACAAGCATAAATAAAGATGCGTAATTTAATAATTTTGTTCAGATTAATAGAATCAGTTATTAAATCAAGTTACAAATTGTATTACGAGTTTACAATACAATTTGTAACTTGATTTAATAACTGATTCTATTAATCTGAACAAAATTATTAAATTACGCGTCTTTATTTATGCTTTTAAGAAACAACTTGTAACCAACAATATAACAGTTTGTTTAATATCAGCTGGTATTTACATATATGTCATATTTCAATGTTTTTTGTTGCATATAAAACTGGGCCTTTCTTATAAAGCTCAAACTGCAACATATGTACAGGAATTAATTATAGAAATAAAGTTTCAGTGTTTATTATAATGCAAATTTATAACCCGAGTTTAAAGGGGAATAAATGTATCAAGGTTCCCTGAATCCAAATAAGCAAGTAGCAAAAATAAGCGCGTATGCGAACATTATAGCTCAAAAACAAAAGGACATACGATGTAAAAACCATCTATGAATTGAGGTTAGGTTGCATAAAACATCGTCTTACCATAAGTACTATTGTATATTATCTATTTTGCACGTTATTATAATTTTCACGAAAATGGCTCGTTAAATAAATGCAAATTAAATTAGTTAGGTTTTATCCTCACTGAATTAGTCTGACGGTGCTTAAATTACCTTTTGTTTATAAGAAAAAAAAATGTGAGTAGTAACACAAAATATGAACTGTAGTTGAATTAGATAGTTAAACTAGCAGATGTGCCCGTCGTTGACGGGCGTATAGTTAAAATTTGAGAAAATTTTTTTGGGATGAATTTTATATTATGGAATGATGGTCCAATTCAATTTCATAAAATTGGATTGGTAGTGTTTCATTTTTCATTTATGATGAAGCGAGGAGATTGTGGAGTCGATTAATTAACCAGAAAGAGTTGTGGTCTCTCTACTTCTTTAAACTCTGCTGGGTTTATCGCTGGCAAAATAACCAAACTAACATTGGACATTGAGTCATCTACATCCATGTAAAGTTAGAACTTGATCTGAATATTGTGGCGGGCGGGGTGAAATTTTTGGGAGTATGTTTTTTTCTGATTTCCGGATAATCCCTTTGGTTAATCCTAAAAATGTATACGACAACATTTGCTAGGTTCAGGAAGTTGAATGGAATGACTCCTTGAACGGGAAGATCGGACAATGTTGAAAAATGAGTGTGTTTTACCCATTTTAAGCGACAACGCGTTACAGATGTTCGGGATTTCGGATTTTTCCCCCTCGGATTGTGGCTAGCGGTACAATAGGTTGGTTGAGAAGTAAGTAACTGCCTGACCAGGATCTCTAGACAAATTACTCAAGAATTCATAACTTTGGTTCTACTCAATATTTTTCTTTCATTTAAACCCTATATTTTAAGGTAAGCAAACCTAATTATAATGTCAAAATTTCAAAAGTGTACAATAAGCCATTGCTGAGCTTACCCCTGACAAAATTTCGTTTCAATCCGGACATACAGACAGACAAAAATTTTTTAGAAGTGGGTTTGGTGTCTGCAATGTATGAAACGGAAATATATCATAAAACGGGTTGATTCTATTCAATGTAAAGACAAAATCTTTATTTTATTTATATAGATAAAGGAGATAATGGGAGATATATTTTCGTAGGTCAGAAACATATTTTTCCTAAATGAATTGTAATATCGATCAGGGGTCAGAACTTTTATGGCACTTTTTGGCTTAATATCATTTTAACGGTTTCTATGAGTTTTTAAAGTAAAGTTCTATGGAACTTTTT